GTGCAGGCGAATGTGCCACCACGCCCAGGTCTGACCTCCTTTCTGAGAGCACCTACTGTGGCTTAGAGAGTGAAGCATTCCCTACCTATCCTGTAGAAAGCTCCGGCCAGGTTCTTAGGCTCTACCCTCACATCACCCGGGCTGCCCCGCTGCCCCTCCCAAGGGTGCACCTACCCCGGTAGCCGCCGCCGCCGCCGCCGGCGGAGCAAGCCCCGCCACCTCCCCCGAAACCTCCAGCCGCGGCCCAGCGGAGCGTGGTCCAGGCCTCCGCGCAGCCCTCGCCGCCTTCGGCCCCTTCCCGCAGCGAGCGTCCGGCCTGCGGAGAGGGGGCCCGCGACGCCCAGCCGCCTCCTCCACCTGCGAAGCGACAGCGGGCGACTAGTAGTGGCGGTGCGTGACGGCCCGCCCCTCCCCTCCCCTCTGCCCCGCGCGCTCACCTGCCGCGCCCCCCTCTCCCGCCGCTCCCAGGCGCCGCTGTGCGGTTCTCCAGTTTCTCGAGGGCCGCCTTAGTCTGGCCTCGGTCATGTCGCCTCCAGTAGGACCTCCCGCCGCCTCCCGCCGCCACCAGCAGCGGCTCCAGCTCCCCCCGCGCGCAACTGCGGGGCCAGTGGCTGGTGAAGGGCCACGCCCGTGTACCGAGGGACCCCGCCCAGGAACCCAGACAGAGAGAGGGGCCTGGGATCCTAACGCCCAGCTAGGGGTCGACGCGATCAGCACTCTGTGCACCTACCCGGAAGATGTAGGTGGCGCCCCCGCCACCCCCGCCCCCGCCGGCCCAGCGTCTCCAGCCGGGGACCCTTTCGGTCCCCGTTGCCGCATGCTCTCCAGTGGCCCAAGACTCTCCCAGACAGACGAGCTGGCTCTCAGGGCTCCTCTGAGTGGCACCAAGGTGGAAATCTGCGTGACCAGGGACCCTCTTCTCCCCGTGCACCAAGGATGCCTTCCCCAGCTCTCGGCCCGGGCGCTCCGCTTACTCCGGGACAGGCGTCCTCGCCCTGCTGCCCCACAAGGATGTACAACGGCTCCCCTCGACTAAGGAAGAAGACCGCCGAGACGAAGATGCCGTGCGCCCGTGACAGGTGGTTTCTGGCGCCTTTGCCTCCCGCGGCTCCATAGGCGGAGATCCTGAGGGAAGAGGATGCAGGGTTTCGCGCCCGGGTCCTGGCTCAGGCTGCGGCGCGAGGTCTGGAAACCCGCGGCAGGGAAACTTGCTAAGCGGCTTAGTGCGATCGACTGTGAAGGGATGGGCGGACTGTGTTTGCAGTTAGGATCCACGCCTGATTCAGGAGTGTTAACGGAGATGGAGGGAAGGGACAAGCCCCATGTGGAGCCACTGCTGATTAGGCGGACATCCTGTCGATGGTAACAGGATCCCTGCTACCGGCTAACTCGGCCCTATTGCCACACTTCTCGCTGGAAGAACTAGAATCGAAGTGACTGACAATAGGCACCGCTGCGGATGGTGCTCTGGGTCCCGCTTTCCCGGACCGTAGCAGGCGATTGCCACCCTCGCCCTTGCCAGGCACTTACAGATACTGGCCGGTGTCTGGCGCCCGCCACAGCTGCACGCCTTTCAGAGGCCCGGTAGCTCCCACTGTCACCATCACGCTGCTCCCTGTGTATGCCCCGTCGCACTGTGTTTGTGTGGGCCCCCGCCGGCCGCTGGCGCCACAGGTGTTGAACACCCAAGGCCCCCGCGTGCCTAGGTGCAAGGGAGAAGGAAAGAGTGGAGTTCCTGCCCAGGCGTAGGGATCTGGTGATGTTGAGCGAGGAAAACGGAGGAGGCTGAAGCTCACCTAGAGGATTTGGGAGGGAAGCAGGCTCCAATCTACTGGGCATGGGGGTGACTTTCTGCTCCTGTGAGTTGGCGACTAGCACCGGCAAGGGTGAGGATATTAGAAAAGGTGCCTGGAACTCCGAGTTGGAGCAAAGAATAGTTCCTGAAAGGCGACCGGGTAAGAAGAGTGGTTAGAAGAAGGCTCAGAATGTGAACGGAGAGACATAAGAGATTGATGGCCACTCGACAGCATCCTGCCTGCAGCCACGCTCCTAATGATACCCAGCGAGCGCACACCAGAGCCCGAAACCGGAGACCTACCACCCAGTCAGGTCGTCCGAGCCCTGCCAGGAGTCTGCGTATACCAGGTTCTCCATTTCAGAGTTCTTCTCCCTGCGTGACTTGGGGTATGTACCGTGCCGGGTCCTACGTACAGCGCCTCCACCCATTTCCTCCATTTAGATTGGTGTCCTTAATTCCCAGGTAATGCCAAGGCCCCACCTGATTCTTAGATTTGTGTGTGCTCCGCGCTTCTCTTGATGCACTCTAGAAGCCCAGGCCAGAGAGCTTTGGTTCCAGGCCGCCTTAGAAGGAACCATTGAGACCTGGTCTATCTCTGATGCAGTCCCAAACCTAGGTGTCTCTGGTTGGCTGGTACTCGGACCATCAGGGAGTACTTACCGGCAGCTCCCAGCCACAGCAGCAGCTGGTAGGAGCAGCCCATCGCTCGATCGGTTGATTCCAGCTAAGGGTGTAGACTCAGAGTTATCCCCACTACCCTGCGGACGTGTAGCCGGTCTGGCTACGCCCACATGGCAGGGAGGGAGTTAGAGGAGGAAAAGGCGGGGAATGTGGGCAGTGAGGTCCCCAAGCTTCCGGGAAGATCCTTGCTGAACTCCCACCAAGGGGCTCTCAGTCCCTTGCCACTGGGTGAGTTCGTGGTAGAAGAAAAAGCTGGCTCTATTCTATTGGTTTGAGATAGTAGCCTGGAAGTAGCTAGCTACATCCTAGCATTTGGCAGTAGCTTCTGTGGTTTTCAAGATAGACCAGAACAAATGGCTTCATTGGTGGCGGTGTTTGCCTGTTTGAATGATCACACTTGGAAAGTATGTAGAACCAGGTTGGCCTTCAAAGACCCCACCTGCCTCCTAAGTGCTGGGACTAATGGAATACACTACAATGACTTGCAGGAGTATTCTTTAAATTGTACCCAGTAAGGCATTATTGCTCGCCATTGCTGTGGTTATCAATCAGTGCCTTTCTGACCACATGGCAGGAAGAACATCCCATACCTCAGGACATAACTTTCTGGGTTTGTTACACAGTTCCATTGTCCTATGCACAACTTGTTACTGCCATGACTAGAAAAGGTGTCTGAGAACTCCAGCAGTGTAGTTCATACTTCTAACCCAGCTCCTGCCAGGTGGAGAGAACTCGGTGTTCAAGGGTTTCCTCTGCTATCAAACTGGATGCCAGCCTTGGCTACAGGAGACCTCACGAAGTGACTCAAAATGTACGGAAGGTGACAGGGGGTGTTACTGAGTAGCACGGCCACCTGCCAATCACACACTAGCAAGACAGCCATAAGCTAAGAGGGCCCTGGAATTAAGCCTGCAGGTTGTTTTGTGTATTGTATCCTCTATCTTTGGTTCAAAATATTAATGTTAAACCAGGCATGGTGGCTCATGCCTGTAATTCCATCACTTAGAAGGCTGAGGAGGGTGGATTGCTATGAATTCCAGGCCATCCTCAGCTGGAGTAATACTTTATCTCAAAAAACAAAAACCCACAAACAAACAAGAAAACTCCCTACAAGATCTTTTGCAAAAGATCTTCAGCCGTCAGCAGAGGAAAAGAGATAGGGTATCACCTGGTACCCAGTGCTAATTTCTAATCCATGGGTATGAACCTTCCAGAATGCTAAAATCCCACCATGGTTATTAGCCCTGCACAAATAGTAGTCTTGTGTGCTATGGGAGGACATTGCTTTGGGAGGAAGCACACTAGGAGCACCTGGGTCAAGATAAGGGAGAACCAGCCGGGCGGTGGTGGTGCACGCCTTTAATCCCAGCACTCGGGACGCAGAGGCAGGAGGATCTCTGTGAGTTCGAGGCCAGCCTGGTCTACAGAACGAGTTCCGGGACAACCTCCAAAGTAATACAGAGAAAACCTGTCTTGAAAAACAAAACAAAACAAAAATCCAAAAAAACAACCAGACCAAAACAAAAACAAAAACCTTGAAAACAAAAAGCTAGTGGTGTGATGACACATGGCCATAATTCAGCACTTTGGAGGTAATGGCAGGAGGATCATCAGTTCACAGTCATTCTAAGACACATATGGAGTTCAATATGGAGTTCAAAGTCAACCTGATTCACATGCAACTCTATATCAAATAAAATACAGGGTCAGTGAGATGGTGACCAGCAAAATGTAAATAAAACAGGGCCAGTGAAAGGTGCTTGCTTCAACCTGAGGCCTGAATTAGATCCCTGGGACCCACGTGGTGGAGAGAGAACTCACTCTTCTAAGTGCTTTTCTGACCCTCACCACACACACACACACACACACACACACACACACACACTGTAAAGTTCAAAGGCTGAGGGCAGTGGTGCACACTTGTTTAAAAACGTAAGTAAATAAAATGAAATACGACAGTTTATGTTTTGATCTACTCCTCCCAGTCATGGTCTCACTAAGGAAAGTCCACTGTGTGGGGCTGGAGGATGGCTTTGTGGGTAAGTGCATGCATCGGTTTGGTTTCCAGTACTCACAGCAGGCAGATAACCACCTCTACTGACCTCTCCAGGGGGATCCAACATTACCCTCCCACCTCTGCAGGTTGTTACATACATGCCATTCATACTTACAGATACATACACATAAACTTAGAGGAAAAAGCCCACTGAGAATGGCACATGGAGAGTACTACATCAGGCTGGCATTTGGCCTCACTGATACCTGTACTTCCAGGGTCCTACACAGAATTCTCCAGGACCACCCACTCCCAAGAGCACTGTCACTATCACAAACTTCCAGGACACACATCTTTGCCATCTCTAGATGCAGACTGCTTTTTTTTTGGTTTTTAAAGGTGTGTGCCACCACCGCCCAGCTCTGTTTTTACCTCCAATTGTGATTTTTTTCTCCTACTTCTCTACTTGAGATAATCCACTCTTGTGACCAACTCTGAACATGACAAAAACAAGTCCAGATCAGCTAGACTAGAAAAGAATTTATTTCAGCAGTCATACACCGTGTCCTGGTGAAGTGGGTGAGGGACTCAGACTGCTCTGTGCCCACAGTCGGGTAAGCAGCTAAGTCACCCTCCACTCCTAGCACAGCCCTCAGAGGCCCCTGATCCTGGGCTCCAGTATCGAGATGTAAAGAGTCCCTTCTGTTCTAAAAGGGCTCAAGCAATGTGGTCTCGGGACGGCAAGCCTTGTGTCCCCTTGTTCCCCACGTTCCCTTATGAAATGATGTCCTGGATGAGCGGGCTCCCACTGGCAAGCCCGAGGAGAATATGTTCATCTTCAGCGGTGCCGAGTGCTCTACGACATCTTGACCCCTCCATTCTGGAGCACCTCTGTGGGCAATGTCTGAAGGTACTGCTGCCTCAGGCGAGGCAGCTGGGAATACAGCTCAAAGCCCCCTGGGAGGCTGGAGTTGGGAAGCTTGTAGTGGAGGAGATGCTGCCGAAGACCCTGCAGAGAGGGCAAAAACCATGAAGTGCGTGGTCAGTCTGTTGAGGTTTGGTTCCTTAAGCCCCCCAAATCTTTCATCTTCCCAATACCCACAATCCTACCTCATCTGCCAGCAGCCATGTTTTCTGCAACATAGTCTTTCGGGCAGCCTTCACCTCATCCTAGGAGCGTAAGAGGGAGATGTGGCACTTGCCAAGGACTAGCACCCACAGCTGGCCTTGTTAGCTCCTACCTCCTCCCCAGCTGGCCTACTAGCTGCCTCCCTCCCTTTGAATATGGAGATGTGACTTACTGAGCTCTTTGGGTCTTGGGAGAAGATGAAACTATTGACATGAGCCACAGCTACAGTGTAGAGGACAGGGCACCAATGTGGACGGAGTGCACCAGTAACCAGAGCCCTAAAGTAGAGCTGAAGGAGAGCCAGGCTGTCTTCAGCAGGCTCTGTGTAGCACTCCAACGGCACAGGCAGCTGTATGGAGGGAAATGAGAAACAGGGCAGGGCGAGGGAGGGACTGTGCATCAGTGGGCAGTAGTGGATGGCTGCTGGTCACATGTCATCAGGGCAGACAGAGATCAGGTCCTAGGAAGACACTTCCCTTCTTTAGTACGCGAATGAAAGCTAAAGAGCAAGGACTAGAGCTAGGGCGTGGCTTAGAGTCTGAGCACCTTCCAGGCACGCGTAAAACCCTGGGTTCCCTTGCCAGCACACAGTCTCTCTCTTTCCACCCCTCCTTCCTTCATCCCTGCCTCCCCTTTCCCTCCCCCCCCCCCCCCCCCGAGACAGGGTTTCTCTGTGTAGGGTTGGAGCCTGTCCTGAAACTCATGTAGAGTCACCTGCCTCTGCCTCCCGAGTGTTGGAATTAAAGGGTGCACTACCATTGCCTGGCTACAGTATTGATTTCTTAAGTGTACTTAATGGTAACAAACGCTTAAGATGTAAGGCCAAATGAAAAATTCTCTAGGCAGTAATTCCAATTTTTTTTTTTTTGAGACAGGGTTTCTCTGTATTGTTTTAGAGGCTGCTCTGGAAATCGCTCAGACTCTGGCCTCGAACTCACAGAGATCCACCTGCCTCTGCCTCCCAAGTGCTGGAATTAAAGGCGTGCGCCACCAATGCCTGGCCAGTAATTCCAATTTTATAAAAATACACAAGTATACAAAAGAGACTAGAAAAAATATAAATAAAGCAATTGTCATTGAGTCAGGAGTAGAAGTGCATGCTTATCATTCCTGAATACATCCATCCAGAACAGTCTGCGTTACAGAGGAAGACACAGTCTCAAAACTTTTTTTTTGAGACAGGGTCTGTATGTGGCTCTGGCTGACCTGGAACTCGCTATGTAGACCAGGTTGGCCTCAGACTTATAAAGACTCATTCACCTCTGTCTCCGGAGTGCTGGAACTAAAGGTGTGTGCCACTATACCCGATCCTGAAACTTTATTATTTATTTTCATCATTGATTTATTTACTATTTGGTCTTTGGAAACAGAGTTTCTCTGTGTAACCGTCCTGGCTGTCCTGGAACTCCATTATGTACACCAGGCTGGTCTCAGGCTCAGAGATCTGCCTGCCTCTGCCTCCCGAGTGCGTGTGCTACCTACCATGCCCAGTGTGAGCTTGACTGCCTTTCAGGACTTTGCTTCTTAGCCTTATTTCCAGCAAGTGCTCCACAGAAATTTCTCAAAAGAGTCAAAGTCTCCCCAAACTTCCACACCAGGTAAATCTCTCTCCCCCATAACACCTGTTCCTTATGAAGTCCACTGCAATTGTTTTAAAAATTCTCTGAACTCTGACTTAACATGTCAAGAATCTGAGTAATTAAGAACCATGGTTTTGGTCTTGGCCTGTCTTTCATCTAGACTGTAGGAGTCTACAAGCAGAAGCTAAACCTTGTTATTATGAATGTCTACTCTCCCAGATACCATGGTAAAAAGCCTTCTATTCTCTGCCATCCCGATGCCTTCAACGCCCCCAAGAAGCAACATGAGAAACTGAGGCCCACCACTGCTCCGCATTGCTTGGGACAGCCCCCAAGTGTCCAGTACAGGGCTCCTAGGCAGCCCTGAAAGGCTGAGAACGTACCTGAGTCAGGGGCAGGCCTAGGGCTCGCAAGACTCCCACATGCTCCCCAAAGAGGGCAAGGCGCAACGTGACACTGAACCGACGCTGCAGAGGAAGGAGGACCAGAGCCCCGAACAAGTGGTCCCCAAAAGAGACAGCCTCAAAGTGCTCTAAGAAGCCGGCATAGAGGTCAGGAAAAGACGCCAGGCCAGGGAGGGGGCAGTCCAGGTTGAGGCTTGGCAGGATTTGGGGCCGACAGAGCCACGCTAAAAGAGCCGCCACCAGGCGCTGTATGGGAGTCTCTCTGAATAGCTCGCTGTCCACCAGGAACACACACATGAGCCTTGCCAGGCGGGCAGCAGGAGGCACAGCACAGAGGGCTTCAGGGCGCCAGCTCTCCAGAACTAGCACCCACTGTAGGACCCGCACAGCGGTGCCTACAGTGTCAGCAGCAGGAAGCCCAGAAGGAGTATCTGAAGCCCGATGGTAGAGATGTATCAATGGCTGGAAAGGCCAGTCAGTGGGCAGCAGTGGCTCCTTAGGCACAGGCAGTAGCAGGCTTGAGACTCGCAGTAGCTCCCCACGGTATAAGGCTTGGGAAGTCAGCAGGCTGGCTCGGGCTGGTGAACAATGAGCCAGGTAGCAGCTGCGGATGCTGGGGAGATCCTGGCAAGCTTGAACTAGGAGAGCCCCTCGTCTGCACTGAGGGTCCCCACTGTTCCCTAAGGACAGTCCATCGGAGAAGTCAGCTGCCTCCGGACCCCCTGATGCATTTTCCCTGTAACAGGACACGAAAACCAAAACTGAGGCCTGGAACCATAGCATCCAGACAGCGGTGGCGGCTCTCTAGGGCTTCCAAATCCAGTCCTGTGCCTTTCTGCTCCCAGACAGCCAGCCTCTCACACCACAATGTTGCACAGCAGTTAGGAGATGGGACAGAGGCAAGTTTACTTAAACTTCTGTGCTTGATCTCTAGCTGTGCTGGGACTAAGGTATGTTCCACGCAGATCCTACTTACTTATTTGTTTATTTACTTTTGAGACAGTCTCATTCTCATATAGCCCAGGCTGACCTAGAACTTGACAGGTAGCCAAGGCTGGCCTTGAACTCCTGATTTTCTTGCTGCTACATCCCAAGAGCTGGGATGACAGTTGTGCATCACCATACCAGGTCCTCCACTTGAATCAGAGCCTCACACATGCCACAGGCATTCTCTGTTCAACTGCACCCCTAGCTTATATACCATTTTTTAGTGAATGTCATACTGTAAGTCTTATCATTTTTGGGTGGGATGAAGATGAGTAGCCTCATCTTCACTATATGAGAGAATAACAAATTAAGTATAATATATGGAGGAAAGAGACTGAAACCTAGGTTTCCCGGCTCCAAGATGCTGTTTTGTTAACATACTCAGCAGTATCCAAAAGTGCCAAACAAACACTTGATCCTTGAAACCCCTGGACTCACGGCAGGAACTCCGGCCGGAACACACAGCTCAGCAGCAGCTCTTGTGCAAGGTATTCACTTCCAGGCAGCAGCCGGCTCAGCAGGATCAAGGCCACAGCATGGAGGAGGGCAGTATTGGCGGCTAGCTCTGGTTTCAGCGTTGCCTGGGGAGGAAAGACAGGCTGTTAGTCAGTGCAGGGAGGGCAGCACGGAGGATGTAAAACAGAGAGGAGTGAGGATATGGAGAGAAAGATTGAGGATATCAACCAGGGAATATGGGCTAAAGTAGGAACCGCGTGGCCCCGTAGAAACAGCACAGGCAAGAGAGGAGCAGGAGGGACCACAGGGTGGGGATGACTCTGCAGACAGGAACCCACCGCTTTTTGGGCTAGGGAGAGCACCAGGTACTGCAGGTGGTACTCATGGCGCAGAGCCCAGGCAGAGAAGGGTGTGAGTTGTGGGGCAGGCACGGGAGCCACACACTGAAGAAAGTACTTCTGGAGTCCTGGAGCAGCCAACACAGCAGCCAGCTGAGGAAACGAGTTTGTTCAGATCTGGAAATTGACCTTTAAGTGTGCTAGGGCTCCCCAGATGGCTGGCCTCTCCCAGCCACTCAGAAAAATAAGGGCTCCCCTCTTCTGGCCACCCCCCACGCCCCTCTTCTGGCCACCTCCCTCTCTTCCTACCCTTCTATCTTGGTAGCCTGGCCTCTAAGTAGGTACCCAAGACTTACCTGCCCACAAAGCCCCTTGTGGATCCGGAGCAGGATGTTGAGGAGAGAGAGGAGGGCGGTGAGGAACGGGAAGGGTGAGGCTGAGCCAGCCACACTGAGAGGGGGGCAGCCGCCTGCACAGCCCAGTGACACGAGGCTGGGGAGAGCTTCAGGAGCAGGGGCACAGGACAGCGGATTGCAAAGCGGGGAGCAGGGCCTGCAGGGAAAATGTAGATGCTGAGCCGACTCTGGTCTGGTGAATGGAAGCGGGAACCTAGCTGTGCAGATCAGTGTTCATGTTCCTCATCGTCCCAAGGGGTTTTCCCTGCTGGGAATCTGGGTTTCTTCCAGGCCCCTGAGGAGTCACACCCTGGGATGGATTGGCAGACAGACCCAGGAACCCCTCAGGAGAGGAAGAACCTCCTCTGCACACTCCCCAGCTGCCCACACAGAACATACCTCAAGGAATCCCACAGATGGCCCAGAGAAGGCTGACTCAGCAATGGCAGCAAGAACTCATCCAACAAGCGCTCCATGTCCTGAAGCCAATCCTCTGGGCACAAGCCTGTCTACAGGGCCAAAGAATCACTGAGCTGATGGTCCAAAACATCCACTTTTCTTTTTTCTTCATCTTTATTGATTTTTATTTTATGTGTATTGGTATTTTGCCTGCATGTACATCTGTGTGAAGATGTCAGAACTCTGGGAGCTGGAGTTACAGACACTTGTGAGCTGCGATGTGGGTGCTGGGAACTGAACTCAGGACCTTTGGAAGAGCAGCCAGTGCTCTTAACCACTGATGTAAGTGTAGTCTTCCCGCCAGCCGCTTGGGTACCACTGCTGTCTCAGCCCCCAAATAACACACAGGACGCTATATTAATTATAAAGCTGTTGGCCATTTGCTATGATGTCTTATTGGCATCCTCATCATGACTGACTGTGTCTCTCTTTCCCAGAATCCTCCTCGACTCCTAGTCCCACCTATCTTGCTTCCCTATTGGCCAACAGTGCTTTATTCAACAACCAATAAGATAAGCACATACACAGAAGGACTTCCCCCATCACACTGAGCCATCTCTCCAGCGCCCAAACACTCATTGTTTTAGTCCTATGGACCCAGACTAGTCCTCACATGCTAAAGGCCTCAAAAAATCTGTTTGGAAGCTTCCACAGCCTGACCTTGCTGAAGGATGGGCCACCCTGAGCTTGCTCTGGTACACAACATCTAGGACTACATGAGAAGAACAGACAGAAGCTAAGCTCCTGCTCAGGGGTCTCTGGTCCCAGCAGCAAGGTTCCTGGAAGCTTCCCTGGGAAACAGAAGTAGGAAGAGACAGGTAGACTGAGAGGTGAGGGTAGGGATCGCTAGAGTAGCAGCTGTCTACATGTGGGGTCTGGTCACTAGAGTAGAGTAGCAGCTGTGTACATGTGGGGTCTGGTCACTAGAGTAGAGTAGCAGCTGTGTACATGTGGGGTCTGATCACTAGAGTAGAGTAGCAGCTGTGTACATGTGGGGTCTGATCACTAGAGTAGCAGCTGTGTACATGTGGGGTCTGGTCACTAGAGTAGAGTAGCAGCTGTGTACATGTGGGGTCTGGTCACTAGAGTAGAGTAGCAGCTGTGTACATGTGGGGTCTGGTCACTAGAGTAGAGTAGCAGCTGTGTACATGTGGGGTCTGATCACTAGAGTAGCAGCTGTGTACATGTGGGGTCTGGTCACTAGAGTAGCAGCTGTGTACATGTGGGGTCTGGTCACTAGAGTAGAGTAGCAGCTGTGTACATGTGGGGTCTGGTCACTAGAGTAGAGTAGCAGCTGTGTACATGTGGGGTCTGGTCACTAGAGTAGAGTAGCAGCTGTGTACATGTGGGGTCTGATCACTAGAGTAGAGTAGCAGCTGTGTACATGTGGGGTCTGGTCACTAGAGTAGAGTAGCAGCTGTGTACATGTGGGGTCTGATCACTAGAGTAGAGTAGCAGCTGTGTACATGTGGGGTCTGGTCACTAGAGTAGAGTAGCAGCTGTGTACATGTGGGGTCTGGTCACTAGAGTAGCAGCTGTGTACATGTGGGGTCTGGTCACTAGAGTAGCAGCTGTGTACATGTGGGGTCTGGTCACTAGAGTAGAGTAGCAGCTGTCTACATGTGGGGTCTGGTTCCCTTCTTCTACTCTCAGTACCACACCTATACAATCTGTATGTACCTACCCATGCCAGTACAGAAGGGGTGGGGAAACACAGTCAGAACAGGAGGAAGCGGTAGGATGCAGACGAAGAGAGACGGGCAGGCTGCACTCACCTGCTGACTCCAGGTCTGATAGTAGGCACCCAGGAACAGCAGGCAGGCAGTGGGCACTGGGCCCAGGGCACTCCACACATCAGGCCTGGGCAGGAACTTTAGGATCTGCTTTAGACATGGTTCGACCAGTGGCTGCAGGCCAGACACCTGTGTCCAGGTGATCGAAGAAGGTAAGGCCGACGCACAAGCCTCAGCCGAGCCACTGCCAGAGTGCCAAAAAAGGGACAAAGGTGAGGGTCTGGCCACCTTACTCCCGGTGGAGGAGCGCTCCCATCCGTCCTGGGGTTGCCGTTGGGCAAGCCTGCTGGCAGGCTCGGAGCTGGCCTACCTGGTGGGTTCAGGATGTGTGCGGTTAGCTGCCAGGGTCAGCTGAGTAACAAGAGTGAGTAGAGAGGCTATCCGCTGCATGCACCGCGGCTGTGGGGGCTGGGTGCTGAGCTCTGTAGGCAGGGTCTGCAAGGCCCGCACGAGCACTGGGTACAGCTCCCTGGGGAAGACAACTGACCTTCGCTGTACGAAGAGACCACCACGAGGGCACAAAGCACAGCCCTGCCAGGAGCTTCAGCAGGGTGAAAGGCCACCAGGAGGGAGAAGGCCCCAGGGTTGAGACACCATGCAGGGCTCAGTCCTGAAAACTGGGAAGGCTGCCACCCTTCAAGGCTGCTCCACAACAGAGAACTGACATCTGATCTCACCAATACACTGACACTTTTGTCCAAGACTGAGGAAACCCTCTCTTCCCTAGTAGGCCCTGACTCCCAAGCAACCCCGCAGCAGACATCACTCTTGGTCTCCCTTCCTTGGGGCCTTGAACAAAGCTGAAGGAAGTAACGCACAACAGCAGGGCTCTACAACAGTGGGGCTCTACAAGAGGCCTCCTTCTTGCCGCTCCTCACCTGTAAAGGTCACTGCCCTGGCCGTAGGAAGCGACCACGGCCCACAGACGGAAGGCCTCGGTGCTCAGCGTCTCCGCCTCCTCGGGGGGCAAGGCCAGTTCCTGTGGCACTTGGGCGATGAATCGGCACAGCCGGCTCCTGAAGTCAAAGCTGCTCAGCTGGGGATGAGCACAGGGTGTGGCGTCGGGATCGTCCAACCAGGATCGGCTCCCTCTTGGGAACAGGCTCAAGCTGGTCCCATTCCAAGTCTCTGAAGCCACAGGGTCTATGGCAGGTGTGAAAGAACCTCACCCCCCCTTCATCTTTTTTTTTTTATCATTATTGGGGGCTACAGATGCTCATATGTCACATGCACATGGAAGTCAAACGAAATTCACAGGGTCACTTTTCTCCTTCTCCCATGTGGGTTCTGGGACGTGGCCTCAGGCCATCAGGCTTGGCAGCAGTGTTTTTACCTGCTGAGCCATCTCACTGGCCAGCACCTTTCCTTCTGTTTAGACAGTGTTTGCTAGGTACTTTTTCTACCTGGCTACAGGTGGTGAGTGCCTGCCTGTTGGTTTGCATCAGAGAACCCTCCCCACATTAGGAGACCAGAGTAGGTCCAACAGACCCAGGTGCCCAGACTCCTGCCTGATGGTTTCTGTTGAATTTCTGAGCAACTGGACCATGCTTAATCCAGCCCAGCCCAGCCCTATCTTACTTTATAGCCTCCATCTTTTGCCCTGTGTCCTGCTTACCAGTCGGGCAGCAATATTCCTCCCAGCTGAAGCCAGGACTCTAAGCAGTTTCATGGCAGCAGCACAGGGCACTTTATATAGACTGGAAGTAGGTCCCACTGCCATGGGGGTCCAACTGGTAGGCAGGAACTCTTGAACTATGGTCTCTATTAGCCGAGGACACTCCAGAACCTGCAGGAAACAGGAGGAAAAGGGAGGCAGAGGGGACCAAGATGAAATCATCAGCTGGGCACAGACCACTCGCTTACGCCTAAATCTCAGTATGCAGGATGCTGAGGAAGGATTTCCACATGTTCCAGGTCAGGCCAACCTGTATGAGCTTTAGGCTAGTCTGTGCTGTAACGAGATCCTATCTCAAGACAACAGCAGCAACAAGAATAACAACAAAAGCCGTAAACTAAAGGAGGAAGAGCCATGGGTTGTTTGCCCATTCATTGCCCCCCTTTCTTCTCACCCTCGTGGCTGACTCCAGGGAATGTCGGGCCAAGCGGATAAGCACAGCCAGGATGTCAAGGACCACAGAGGGTCCTGGGCAGGTCACCTCCAGCACATAGCGCAGCCGAGGCAGCAGATTGGTAGCCAGGAGCCCCTAGGACTCAGAGGAAGAAACTCATTGATAACTCCTCATACCCAACAAACCTGCCCACTAGGTCAAGGACTGGAATGCACATTCCCTCTACCTTGATGACATCATGTCTGGCCAGGTCGGGTGGAGGGCGGCTTTCTTCCTCAGGGGTCTTCTTTGCCTTTCCGGTTGTGGGTTCGTCATCCTCACCTTCATCATCTTTATCCTCCTGACTGGGCATCAGAGGGAACACCAAAGCTCCATGATACCAAGAGAAGGTGCTGTCAAGGAGTTCCTGCCAGAGGATGGGGCAGAGGCGGGAAGAGACGGAAAGGCAAGAAATGGTTCCAGGGTAGAGCAAAATTCTCCCTCCTGACACACACAAACAGCAGAGGCAAGGCTCCCGGGCTTTTGGCATTGAGAAGAGGCTGCTACGTGCCTCCCGCGTCTCCATTCTGCCTGCAAAGCCTTGGCAAAGGGCATACCTAGAATGAGGAGCAGAACTCTGTCACCTCTGAACCCCATTCCTATCCCTGACATACCTCATCTCCAGGAGCTACTAGCAGAGTACGAAGAGCCCGGACAGCTGCTGCGATGACACCATCCACCCTGTCATCCAGAGAGAAGCGCAGCAGGAAGAGGAAACCAGCATCCAAGAGGAGGCGCAAGATGCTGCCCACTAGGCGGTCTCCAAACTCACCAGCCTGGGCCTTGGGATCAGAGGGATAAAACTGTGTTGAAGATGCAGAAGTTGTATAGAACCATTGCTGACCCATGACCCTGCATTTGCACCATTCCTAGTATGACCCGTAGTGAAAATAAAAAAAGTTTAAGATCAAGGGGTGAAGGATGGGGTGGGGCTAGATAGGACCAGGCCAGCAGTCCACTTACCCGGCTGATGATCTGGGACAATACATGCAATGCTAGTGCTCTCTGTTGGGACACCTGGCTACGGGTCAGATGGAACAGCTCCTGTAGAGAGTACCCTGCTCTCTGGTGCAGGGACAAAAAGTCAGAAGGAATCATGACACAGGGCAGTGACCCCAAAATACCTAGGAAGGTGTTGAGGAAAAGGCAATATAGGCAAGTAGCATCTAGTCCTTGCTCTCCCTGGAACCTCAAGCTGATAAAGAAAATAGGGCATGTACACAGCAATGGTGGCAGAAGGCAAATAGCAGCTGATGTTTTTGTTGACTTTATTTATATGGATGTTTTGTCTACGTGTACATCTATCTGTACACCAGAAGAGGTCATCTGATCCCATGAGACTGCAGTTACAGATGGCTGTGAGCCACCACATGGGTGCTGGGAACTGAACTCAGGACCTCCGAAAGAGCAGCCAGTGCTCTTAACCACTGGCCATCTCTCAAGCCCAGTAGCTGATGTCTAATGTGGGAAAGGAATCTGATCTCAGTAGGTGGGTATAGCCTCAATGGCCCAGCAGGGAATAAGGGTATAGACATTCCCTGGAGTGAGCCCTGCTAGGCTGGGAAAGCAGGGCTATCATGTGGCAGCATCAGCAGAGAGGTATAGCAGAGATAAAGGATCCGCAGACCATCCTGCCAAGCTCAGGAGCTAGAACCTTATTCGGTGAGCAAAGGAGAGCTGGGAAACTTTCCGAGATAAGGGATGGCTTGAGTTAGGCCAGAGGCAATCAGAATGGCAGCCCCATGAGGGATGGAATGGCCTGAGGGAAAGCATGCAAGGGCTGGCTTTGAGTTCCAGAACAAAGCAAGATGCCAGCAGGAGGCACAGCATTTTGACCCTAAGAAACTGAGTGACAGCAAGGCCATGAGCTGGACCAGGGCACACAGGTCAATGGCAACTGACCAGAGCTCCTTTTCTGTTAGACACATGCCAAGATCTGCTCAGTCTTCTTTGGATCCCATGCCTTACCTCTGCCTCTTCTCCATGGTGGTGCAGGCCCAGATGGGTGGGCAGGTCCACATCGGGCGCCAGGAGTTCTCCTTGAAGGTTGAATCGGGCCTGCATTCTCTAAGAGAAAGAAAAAGACTGGGCTTGGCACAGCAGCAACTTCTCCATATACAACCACCTTAATCTCGAGCCTCTTAGGATTAGGTCTGGGCTCTATCTCTGCCTGGAAATTAAGTTCATTTCCTTAGGCAGGAGGTAGGAGAGAAGTTGAGAGCACATTAGAGCTGTTTCTCAAGCCCCAGTACTGGGCAGAAGAGCAGCAGCCCCATTCCACCTGGTTCCCCTCACCTCCTGGGTCTGCTGCCGCCGGAGCGGGGGCAGGTCCTGGGTCCAGTGGAGCTTCTCCAGTTCAATAGTGTCCATATGGAGCCATTCTTTGTGGGGGGTCACAGGTAGTTTCAGTGCTAGGGAGCAGAAGCATAGTATTCCTCCAGGGCTCAGCTCATTTGTCTGTAAGACTGCACTGGCAGAGAGCAGCGGCCACAGGCCCCCTGCACTGAATCTAGCAGCTCCTACCCTCAGCTATGGCTAAATGGTGTGGCTTGGAGGTTAGAACGCCTGGGCACTGGACGAATGTTTCAACTATAGCAGACACAGCCTATCCTGGCTCAAGCCCCTTGCTGACTCCAAAGACTTATTTGAAGGAGAAAAGGAAGACAAGAGACCACACGCCAAGGAAAGTACAGCAGTCCCCTCTCTGGTACAGACCACTGAAGGGCAAAGGCACAGGGACAAAGAAGAGGGGGCAGTTATGCTGCTCCAGTGCTGCAGGATATTCAAACACCTCTACCACATCCTCTAGCTCCTCACCCCACCCCACCCCCATTCAACCTGCCTGGCTGGCCCAGCAGTCCTCCAGGAGCAGGAGGTTCCGGGTCATAATTCAATTTCCTCTTTTGATAATCCCTAATGGAATAATCTTGTTTCTGGGAAATAAGTGCTTCCACTGGTCTCTGCGTCTGGTCTTGTATGTCTTCTCCCCTTGCCGGGCCCTGCCACCCCCTGCCACCCCCTGCAAGGCGAGGGAGGGATGAAGCAAGAGCTGTGCATCTGCAGCAAGGGCAGGAAGACGATCTGTCTCGGGAGCTGCCTGCCGCTCCAGGTGGGGGGAGAAGTAGCGGCATCAGGACAAGAAAACAGAAGTGTGTGCGGGAAGATGTGCACCAGTAAATGACGACTATCTGTGCCAATTTACAGGCACTAATGAAAATTAACATCCCATGTCCAAGGACAGAGCAGAGGAGCATCTCTTTTCCCATCGCCAGGCCAAGGAGAAAGGACAGTTTTTTTCTACTTTGCTTTTTTTTTTTAAAAAAAACATTTATTCATTTTGTGTATGAGAGGTAGGTGTAAGGATTCAGGTATTATGCTGGCCTGTCCCTGTCACCTGGCAGAATACACTCAGGCAGTACCCTGGTCAGCATGCGGGTGCATAGGGCCCTTAAAAAGAAAGACCCCCGCCCTCCCCACCTCCCTTTCTCTCTCTCTTTCTCTCCTCTGTTCCCCTGGGGAAGACAGGACCTTTCCTGTCTCGCTCTTCTCTTCTGTCCTCTCTCTGTGTCTCTTCACCTCTTTTCTCTTTCCTCCCCCTTCTCCTTCTAAAGAAACTTCTCACTTAAGCTCTGTCTGCCTGGCATGTTTATTCTCTGCCTCAGTCTCCCTCACCTGCCATGGAATCTGTCAAGGTCCCCCACGTGCATTAGCATAACTGTGCGCGTGCGTGCGTGCGTGCGTGTGTGTGTGTGTGTGTGTGTGTGTGTGTGTGTGTGTGCACTCGCGCGAGTGTTACAACCTGTGTAACAAAACTGTCCTTGGGAGTTGCTTTTCTCTCCCACCATGTAGGTTCCAGAGATCTAATTCAGGTGGTCAGGCGTGGTGGCAAGAACCTTTATCCTCTGAGCCACCTCATCAGCCCACTGCCCTCTTCTGTAGCTTGGCTGTCCTGGAACTTTATGTGCAGACATCAGGCTGACCTCAAACTCACAGAGATCCATCCACCTGACTCTCAGTGGTGCAGGAATTAAAGGGGTGAGCCACCACACCTGACTATTTTTCTTTTGTTATGTTTTGTTTTTCAAGACAGGGTTTCTTTGGTAGCCTTGGCTGTTCTAGAACTCATTCCAGGCTGGCCTTGGACTCACAGAGATCTGCCTGCCTCTGCCTCTAAAGTGCTGGGATTAAAGGCGTGCGCCACCACCGGCTAGCTTTCCTCTCTACTCTTATCCATCAAAAGATGTTGTCTGTCCTCCACACCTGGGGCTCTTGGCTCCAGCTTACCCTCTGTCCTGGGCTCACTGGTACAAGTTGACATGATGGACTCTTCTGCAGTGACAGGAACTTCAGGTCTGCCTGGGCTCTGCTCCTTGGTGGCCTTTGTCCCTGCTTGCTCCAAGGCATGGCTATGAGATCTCAAGAAGGCAACCAACTTGGGGTCTAGGGGTGAAGGTGGAGAGAATTAGAAGCAGGATGGGTACTCCCCAGCCTCCTACATACCTGATACCTGCAGAAAGCTTCCCACCTCTGGGTGCCAAGGACAAGACAACTGCTTCCCAGTCTTGGCTTAGGACCCCTGCACTTTCCTGTGGCTCTTTAATGACCCTGCCAGCCCAAACCTGTGTAGCCTAGTGCCTGACTATCCCCCATGGCCCCTGCTCTCCACAGTCCTCTGGTCCAGGTTTCCATGCCTGAACCACTGCATGCCACCAGGTCAGAAGTCTGAAGTAGCTGTGGTTTAGCAAATATTAATTAGAGCCGAAAGGAAAGCACTTGGCTGAACAATTCCTTTCATTTTCTGTCTGTCAGTTTGTATACATTTACTAAAAATTTGATACTCACTACATAAGGGCTCAATATACAGTGGGGAACAAGACTGACCAGGGAAAGTGGTGTACCACACTACCACATGTATAGCAGGAGGTACTGAGGTTACACTAGAGGAGACAGTACGGTTGTAAAAGCATAGCATGAGCCACAACAGGTAATTCAGTAATATTACCTGTTGTGGGATACATAATGGGGCCGGGTGGACAGACAACCAGAAGCACTAAATCTTAGATTTAACCCTGTATTTGTATTTAAATCCAGTCTGTAGGACTAGAAGTACAAAGCACTTTGCCTGGCGTGTGCAAGGCTCTGAGTTTCAATTGCAGCACTCCCCCATTTCCCCCAATTAATCTGCTCTATACTGCTCACCATCTATGTGACTTGGGGAGAATTTCTTAAATTTCTGACCTCTTACGTTTTCCCCCTTTGAGGGATTTTTTTTTGTTTTGTTGTAAGTTGTTCCTGGGGGTATGGGCAGGTTATATGTGCCATGGTGCACACATGGAGGCCAGAGGACAACTTAGTGGGATCCGTTCTCTCTTCTACCTTCAGATGGGTTCCAGAAATCAAACCCTGGTCATCAAGCCAGCTCAGCAAGCACCTTTACACACTGAGCTATCTCGTCAGCTTCAAGTTTTGTTTTGGAGGAAGGGTTTCATAGAGACAGAAGGTCTCAAACTAGCCATGTGGCTGACATGAACTCTGGTCTTTCTTTCTCTACCTCACTGGGATTAAAGACCTGTACCACCCTGAGCAGCAGAGTCTGGTTTTGAGACAGGGTTTCTCTATGTAGCCTGGGCTGCCCTGGAACTCACTCTGTAGATCAGGCTGGCCTCAAACTCAGAGATCCACATGCTTCTGCTTCATGAATGCTGGGATTAAAGGCGTGCACTACCACTGCCCACCTAAATTTTTGCTTTTTTCATTGGTAAAATTAAGTTAATACCATATCCCTCCCAGGACAAAACAGAAGAAATGCAGCATATAGCACATCAATCTCTAATGCCCCTAAATAGATAAATACTCAGAACACGTCTGTCCTGTACTTGTATATATTTTAGTGGCTCACTGCTTCCCTCAACTCCTTTGGGAATGAGGTCTAGTTCAGTGGTACAGCATTTTCTTAGGGTATGTAAGGACCAAGATTCAATCCCAACTACCAGGATAAACAAACATACAGCAAAGTGCCTGGCATTCACAGTAGGCCTTCCCCAACAACTGATGGCTCCTCCTTAGCTTGACCCTAGCAGGAAGACCTAGCAGCCATACCAAGTTGAGCCAGTAACTGCTGCTGCTCCTTCAGGATCTCCTCAGGATCCATGGCTTGCAGTCTTGCTACATTCTCTTCATGGATGGTCTGGACTTCCTGCTCAGCTGCCTGGCTCCTCAGCCCCTTCCCTGTGACCAGATTCGATCTGTGGAAGTCATGGCTGCCCCCTGGAAACTGGTTGCCTTTGTCCCTAGAGGAGGGTGTCTCAGAGGGCACAGCGCCTGAAAGAAGTGTACAATCAGTTTTATCAATCTGCCCTCCTAGACCCTCTGGCTTATTCAATAAGGCAACAAGTCCCAGAGACCAGTGATGGCCCTGGGACTTTCCTGGACACAGAATGGAAACCCACAACATTTCAAGGGCTCTAGGAGGAGCAAGGTGGCAGTCTTTCATTCATTCTTCCCTAAGACTTACATGGGAAGACTTCCCCCAATCATCAGATCCTGACACGGCCATCTACCACTAGTTTACCTCAGGCTCTTCCACCAGCATTTTACACAATTAATGAAAACTTGGTCAGTATCTTTTAGTCTCTACCAGACACTTCTAACCCCCTCAATACTCACTCCTCACCACTGAGCCATCTCTCCAGCCCCAGTGCCTTGGTTTTTAATACTGTAGATGATGTAGCTCTCAAGGATTGGGGGCAGAATTAATTACTCACCCTCCCTTAGTAGTTTCTATCTGAAATTAATTAAAAAGTATGGTTGAGGGCTGGAGAGATGGCTCAGAGTTTAAGAGCATTGGTTGCTGTTTCAGAGGTCCTGAGTTCAATTCCCAGCAACCACATGGTGGTTCACAATCATCTATAGTAGCATGAAGGCATACATGCAGACAGAGCACATTAAATAAATAAATAAATATAAAAAAAAGTATGCTTAGCTGGGCGGTGGTGGCGCACGCCTTTAGTCCCAGCACTCGGGAGGCAGAGGCAGGCGGATCTCTGTGAGTTCGAGGCCAGGCTGTACCGACAGCCTCCAAAACAATACAGAGAAACCCTGTCTCGTAAAACCAAAAAAACCAAAAGTATGCTTGAAGGAGCTGTAGACCAGGCTAGCCTCAAACTCAGAGATCCATCTGCCTCTGCCTCTTGAGTGCCAGGATTAAAGGAGTGCGCCACCATGCCCAGCTGTTATTTATTCTTTCTTTATTTAAAAAATTTCTGGCCAGGTGGTGGTGGCACATGCTTTTAATCCCAGCACTTGAGAGACAGAAGCAGGCAGATCTTTGTGAACCTGAAGCAAGGCTGGTCTACAAAGTAAGTTCCAGGATAGCCAGGCCTACACAGAAAAACAAAACAAAAAACTTAATAAAAATAATTTTTCTAGATTTATTTAGTCTGGAACTGGAGTTATAGACAGATGAGTCACCATATAGGTACTCGAAATGAAACCTGGACCTCTGGAAGAAAAGAAAGATAAAAAGAAAGAACAAATAAATGTACATTTGAGAGGCTGAAATTGTAGCTCTGTTGCTAACACACACATCCTTGCAAGGATAAAAAAGCCCTGGGTTTGATGCCTATATACACATAAATCAGGCATCGGACACATGAGGGAGCAGGAGGATCAATTTTACAATCATTCTCCATTACAGGGTGAGGTCAGGCCAGACTGGAATACAGTTGATTTGTCTCTGCTCCATTCCAACAACCAAAAAAAAAAAAAAAAAAAAACCAAAGTTCATCTATAAGAGACAAAAGACTAAATTCAGCGGCACTCACCCTCTGGCGGGTCTAGCCTGGGGACAACTCCCCCAGCTGCTGAGACCCTGTTTTCAGTCACCCTCCTTGCTGCAATCTCTTGGGCAAAGATGCTCCTTTTACTGGGTGCTGCCGATTTCCCCTACAGGGCAAAGAGAAAAACCCAAGTTGCTGATATTAATTACCTGCTCTTCCTCAGCTCCTTACCCAAGGCTCGAACAAAGAGGAAAGAAACCTCAGAGAAAGCAGAATTTCTGGGAAATGGTGGAACACATCTAAAACCCAGAACTCTGGAGTTACGGGCAGAAAGAACAGGCAGGCTCCGCTACACAGCAAGTTTCAAGCCAGACTGAGAAACAGCAAGATGGCTAAGTTGTTAAGGGCATCTGACAACACGGGTTTGATCCAGGGGACCCACATGCTGGCAGGAGAGAACTGACTCCAGGGTTTCTGATCTCCATGTCCAGATATGAACACACTTGCAAGCGCACGTGCACGCACACAGACACAGACACAGACACAGACACAGACACACACACAGTGCTGGTTCTGTAAGCATGAAGACCTGAGTTTGATCCTCATGACCGATGTAAAGCTGGGCACACTTAGCATACCTGTAATCCCAATATTTCTAAATCAAGACAGGAGATAGAGACAAAAGTATCCCTGGAAATTCAAAGGCCATCTAAGGCTGGGTATGGTGGTGAACACCTTTAACTTCAGTACTGGGAGACAGTGGCAGGAGGATCTCTGTGAGTTTTGTGAGTTCGAGGCCAGTCTGGTCTACACAATGAGTTCCGGGACAGTCAAGACTACATAGAGAGACCCTGTCTCAAAAACCAAAACAAACACTAAAGCCCATCAAATCCAACATGCAAAGCAATGTACAGCAAAGATTAGATAGTATAAAGAAGGCAGGGAATGACACCTGAGGTGGTCCTCTGACCTCCAGAACTTACACACACAAACTTGTGCACACACATCACACACTTACATATACACATACCAAAAGAAAAAGAAATACGGTAGGACTTGAACTGTGAGTACAGCTCAGGGTGTATTGCCTGCCCAGCAGCAGGAAGCACACTGTATTCAGTTCCTAGTACTGCAATTACAACACGTGGAAAGACTGAGGCAAAAAAAAAAAAAAAAAAAAAAAAGCACTTTTTCCCCTGTAACTCTGAGGTCAGCATCCTACTGAGACTGTCTCAAAACAAACAAACAAATAAATAAATGGGGTGGGGCTGAACAGATGACTCTGTGGTTAGGAGCACTTGCTGCTCTTTCAGAGGACTTGAGTCCAACTGGCAGGACCCACTAAGTGGCTCACAACCACCCATTAACTTCAGTTCCATAGGTTTCAAAATCCTCTTCTGATCTCCATGGACACCAGCCTTGAATGTGGTACACATACATACATGCATGCAGACAAAACACTCATATGGATAAAAGTGAAATTTTAAAGAAAACTGGAAAGATGGCTCAGCAGTTAAGAGCACTCACTATTCTTTCAGAAGAGCAGAGTTCAATTCCCAACACCCTCATCAGACAGCTTACAAGTGCCTATAGCCCATTTCTGTGGACACAAGCACTTGTGTGCACATACCCACTCATACATATACAGTTAAAAAATTTTTTTTTGTTTTATTTTTTGAGACAGGGTTTCTCTGGATATCCTCAGCTGTCCTAAAACTCACTCTGTAGACCATGCTGGCTTCGAACTCACAGAGATCTGCCAGCTTCCACCTCTGGAGTGCTGGGACTAAAGGTTTGTGCCACCACACCCAGCTTAGTTTTAAATAAAAGAACTTTCCCAAAGTACCTAGAGAAGATTTACCCTGAGACTCATTCATTCCCCAAGCACTGCTTGTGCTGAATAGCTTTATGCCAACGTGACACAAGTCAGAGTTATCTGAAAGGAGGGAATCTCAACTGAGAAAACACTTGCAAAGGTCTGGCTGTAGTGCATTTTCCTAATTAGTGATTAATGGAGGGCACCCAGTCCATTGTGGGTGGGGCCACCACTGGGCTGGTGGACTTGGGTTCTGTAAGAAAGCAGGCTGAGCCGGGCTTTGGTGGCACCTTTAATCCCAGCACTCGGCAGGCAGAGGCAGGCGGATCTCTGTGAGTTCATGGCCAGCCTGGGCTACAGAGTGAGTGCCAGGAGAGGCTCCAGAGCTACACAGAGAAATCCTGTCTGGAAAAAAAAAGAAAGCAGGCAGAGCAAGCCATAAGGAGCAAGCCAGTAAGCAGCACTCCTCCATGGCCTCTGCAACAGCTCCTGACTCCAGGTTCCTGCCCTGCTTGAGTTTCTGTCCTGACTTCCTTCAATGATGAACTATGATATGGAAATGTAATTGAAATAAACCCTTTCATCACCAAGTTACTTCTGATCATGGTGTTTTGCTGGAGCAATAGAAGCCCTAAGACCCCACCTGAGGTAACCTTGCTTACCTGTCTCTCCTGTGAGCGATGGAACACAGGAGGGAAAGCAACGCCACTGGGCACAGGCAGAGTCACAGCGACTGAACTTGTATCTCGTTCCTGTGGCAACAAAACAAAGCCGTGAAGATGCACAGGTCTCCAGGAAAACCCGAGTCCACTGGCCCCAGGACCCTCACTCCAGGGGCTCATGAACCTATGTCGGATCCAGTCTCAGTTGTTCTAGCCTAGCCCCAAACTGACTGCAGAGTGGAGAAGACTACATTTCTGCGGTACCCACCACTCATAAACCCTTTCCTTCCCCAAATGGGATGTCTTGCCCCGCCCAGCTGTGCTAACACATACAATAATTTTAGACAAGACGGCGGTGATGTGCTGGTCATGCCTACTCAGTCTCTCTTCAGGGTCTTCATCATGAGGTAGCGGGTGGCAAGGGCTGGGTCTAGCTCTCTTTGCAGGAGCGGGCACCAGAGCTGGCGGCAAATCTGGGAGATCTGAAAGAAAGAATCCAGATGTTCAGCATATTCACGCTTTCCTAAGAAGATATCAGGGTTGGGGGCAGCAGCAAAAAAGACAGCTGCTCTGGGTCCTGGCTCAAGCTGTGCTGTCTTGGGTATGACATTAACCTTTCTGAGCAGTTTCTTCATCTATATAGTGGGGCTGCAGAGCTGTGTGTGGTGGTGGATACACCTGGTATCCCAGTATTTGCAAGGCTTGGGCAGAAGACTGCCACAAGTTCAAAATCATTTTATGCTAAATAGTGAACTCCAAACAAGCTAGAGCCACAGAGTGAGACCCCTTTTTCACAAACAAAATAAAATACTAAAAAATAAAAACAAAACACAATTTCAGCAACGGGGTTACAGTTGGAGCAGAACTGCTTCACCTCCGGATGAAAGTGGCTCCCCAGGCTGACCCCTCTCTCCTCACACCCACGCCTGCAGGCACTCACTGTCCAGCATCACCACATCCCGCCGGTCCTGCACTGGAAGCTGGTCTGGATGAGCATCACCATGTCTCCGACTTCCTTTCACCAGCTGCACCGCTGGGGCTGCACCAGCTTCGAGGAACTGGCTCTGGAAGCGCAGGAGGTCCACCTCAGACTCTCCAGGCTTTGGTCTGGACAGCATCATGACACTCAAGCTGTAACCTTTGTATGAATCCTTCCAGTATTGCTTTCTTGGTGTGGAGAATTGCTCTCACTCACCCCTAAAAGCAATAAAACAATAACTTTATAACCAAGCACAGATTATGTTTTTTATGAGTTCATGTGACCTCACTCCTCATTGTCATTTCTTTCTCCATCAGCATTCCCTGGTCATCAATCTAGTAAAATTACTTATAGGCAAGGCAAGGGTGGCGGCACATACCTATAACCCTAGCACTTGGGAATGAAGGCAAGAGGGGAAAAAATTCAAGGTTTTCTTGGCTACACAGTAAGTTCAAAAGCCAGCATGAGATACAGGAAACCCCGTATCAGAAAACAAACAAGAGTGAGTGTAGTGGTGTGTGCTTTTAATTCCAGCACTCAGGAGGCAGAGGTAGCTGGATCTCTGTGAGTTTGAGGACAGCCTGGCCTACCTAGTGAGTTCAATGACAGCCAAGGCTACATAGTGAGACCTTGTCTCAAGAAACAAAACAATAACCAAAAAGGATATATAGCCAGTTTAGGTTGTTTACAATCTTGAGTGACAAAACTCTCAAAATGTTCTCAAATTAGATGATGTTGGTAGCAACCTTATATATGAACTAAAATGTCACAGAATTGTACACTTAAAAAAGATAAATTCGCCAGGTGTGGTGGCACATGCCATTAGGGAGGCAAAGACATGTGGATCTCTGTGAATTTGAGGCTAGTTTGGTCTACATAGAGAGATCTTGCCAAAGAAAATAAACAAATAAATAAACAAGGGCTCAATGGCTCAACCAATAAAGAAAGATACTTGCCGCCAAGTCTGGCAACCTGAATTCAATCTCCAACTCCTGCAAGCTGTCCTGGGACCTCCACAAGCACACTGGCTTGTGTGCCTACCTCCACAAAATACATCAAACAAATAATGTAATAAAAATAAAATGTAGCTGGGCAGTGGTGGCACACATCTTTAATCCCAGCACTTGGGAGGCAGAAGCGGCAGATCTCTGTGAGTTTGAGGCCAGCCTGGTCTACAAAGCTACACAGAGAAACCCCGTCTCGAAAAACAAAACAAAACAAAAAGTAAAAAGCTGGCACGTGGGAAAGCCCGGTACACCAGCCACTTCTAAAAGCAAAGGACACTAAGAAGCAAAGAGAGACAAGCCAGACAAGTCAGAATCTTAAGTGCTGAACAATGCATTCCCTTATTCTTCGCCCAAGCCTATATAGGATCAGATGTAATAACTATACTTACTAGGCCAGTCAAGAAAACATCCCTAACACAAGGGTAAAAAGAACAGAAATGTCAAAATAATCACATGAGTGTGTAACTTAAGGAATAGTACCAAAAGTCAGCTGTGATTGGCTATGCCAGTAACCCTAGCACTCGGGACATTAAAGCAGGATTGAGTCTCAAGACAATGATAATATGACGAAATCTTGTCCAAAAAAGTAAAAAACAAAAGCAAGCACTACCTCTAAAAAAGCTTTTTTTTTTTTTTGAGAGTTGTCTTTGGGCCGAGTAGTGTACAAAAGGTTATAAATGTTCATAGCTATAATCACAACACTCCAGGGATACATAGTTAGCTCGAGGCCTACCTGAGTTACAGTATGAGACTATCTCAGGAAAAAAAAAAGCCAGACTAAGCTAGTACACTAGGAGACACTGTGTGTGTGTGTGTGTGTGTGTGTGTGTGTGTGTGTGTGTGTGTGTGTAGTCAGGGGTAGGTCAGTGGCAGAGTGCTTGCCTAGCATGCAGAAGGCCCAGTAAACACACACACACACACACACACACACACACACACACACACACACACAGAGGGCTGTGGCTGTTGTGGATTAGAAATCAGTGAGCAGAAATCAAATGCCAGCTCCACTACTTACTAGAGTGAAATTAGGCAAATTATTCCAAATTCAGTTTCAACTGAAAAATGCACAGGGCTGGGACACGGGTAACCCTAGCATTTGGGAAGTGGAGGCAGAAAGATCAGGAGTTTCAAGTTAGCCTAGGATAATGAAACCTTTCAAAACAACAGTAAAAGAGCATTGCACTAAACAAGCCTACCACAGTACCTGTGATATAAATAAACCTCAGTGACTGAAAACAGCTAGTTCCATGCTACGTAAAGAAGCAAACGCACTCCCCCACAAACTCCAGGGCAGATTAGTCTAAAATCAATTTGTGCTACAGGTTACACCCTGAATCACACACAACAAGGATAGCTCCTATAGATTAACTCGGAAGCCAAGGAAAGCTAGCAATGGATTTACTAGGTTTTCGAATTGCCTCTTACACCGCAGCCTTTACTTTGACGACACAACCAGAGACTGCGCCTGATTCTAGCTAAGCATCTTTGATCACACCCGTCAGCCACCGAAAATGAAGCGCTATGTCCCGGGTCTCAGTCACTGCTGTGCAAAGACTCCCAAGCGGGTTATGACAAAGTAATCGGACACCTTTCTCCTGGGTTCTCCGCCTGAGCCACTTGAAGCGGGTCTCTGCAGCCAGCCACCTACTCGAACGAGAGACCCCTGGGCGCCGCCATCTTGCCCGTGCGGAGCCGCACTTCCGCCGCCGCTAGAGTTCAGCTTCCGCCTAGACGCCCGGCCTGAGGCTCTCCGTCGTGGTCGCGAGCACTTTAAGACTCTCTGTCCCGCGTTGAACCTCTAAATCCCAAGCAACGAAGCCTGCAGCATCTAATCTCTACACAGACACTTGGAACACGCGCGTTTGGTGTACTGCAGACCCAGGCCTTTCTACACACACATACACACAGCACCGCTGGCAGAAGTCCGTCTGCACTCTTCATCACCGTGCTTAGCTGCATCCTGTATCCCAGCACCAATGCTCGCAGCAGCAGACAAGAGCCTGCACATTCACTAACGTGACCTCCCTAGTTTCCTTACGGAGAAGGTGACCGTGAGAGGGACCCAAAGAAAGCAACACTCCCAGAAAGCACTGTGAGAATTGGGGTGTTAGAGAGAAGACAGAAAAGGGCCTCGTTGTCATCAAGATTGCCGCTTCCTAAGCATTTTTCCTTTGTTCATGCCAGTCTCCCTTCTTGGAAATTCAACCCCTTTTTCCTACTACCCCCTCCCAAAAAGTCTTTCTCCTTTAAGATCTAGCCAGGGTCAATAGTAAAACCTTTGCTAATCAGGTCTGCTCACTGAACTGAACTTGGATGGTCTGAAGTCTAAGCAGCTGCGCTGATCACTTACACAGCAGCATCTACTGGTTACCATTTCTCAAGAGAAGTTCTTTTAGCCTTTCAGGTTCGTGTAATCCCAGTACTTGGAGATTGATATTGGAGGGTGACATATTCAAGATCGTCCTGGGCAACAAAGTGCTACCCTGTGTGATTTGTTTTGTTTTGTTTTTATTTTATCCTTTTTGTTTTTCGAGACAGGGTTTCTCCGTGTAGACTTGGCTATCCTGAAACTCACTCTGTAGAACTTCTGCCTGCCTCTGCCTCCAGAATTCTGGGATTAAAGGCATGAATCACCACCTCCCGGCTTTGAGACCCTGTTTTTTTATTTTTAGATTTATTTATTTCCTTTTAAACATACAAAATTTTGCTCACATGTATATTTGTGTACCATGCGCATGCTCTGAGAAACCAGAAGAGGGAGACAGATTCCTTGGAACTGTAGTTACAGACAGTTGTGAGCCACCATGTGGGTGCTGGCAATCAATCCCAGGTCCTCTGGAAGGACAACAGGTGCTCTTTAAAAAATGTTTTTTATTTGTATTCGTTTTATCATATAAGTGTATTAGTATTTTGCTTGCATGTGTGTATGCTTACCACTTGCATGCCTGGAGCCTAAGGAACTAAAAAGAAGCTGTCAAGAGGGTCTTGCATATCATGGAACTGGAGTTACAAACAACTGTGAGTCACTGTGTGGATCCCAATCTGGGTCATTTGCAAAAGCAACAAGTGCTCTTAACTAATGAGCACTCTAGCCCAAGGCACTGTTTTGATAAAATGAAAAGTCCTGTGTATTAAAATGGACAGAATAGTCCATTGTTCTTTGCCTCCGTAATGCTCAGCATTCTATGTATTGCTGTGCACATACTTATCCTTAGTAAATCATTGTTTGAGATCATCCTAGGATAGCTAGTGTTAATTCAGTGACTTAAAACTTCAGCAGGCAGCCTTTAATCCCAGCACGCCGGAGGCAGAGGCAGGTGGATCTCTGTGATTTCCAGGCCAGCCTGGTCTACAGAGTGAGTTCCAGGAAAGCCTCCAAAACAATACAGAGAAACCCTGTCTCAAAAATCCAAAAAAAATTCAGGCAGACTGACTCACCAGTTAAGAACACTGGCTGCTCTTCCAGAGAATCTGAGTTCAATTCCTAGCAACCACATTGTGGCTCACAACCATCTATAGTGGGGTCTGATACCCTATTCTACCATAAAAGTGTAAAAGTGTACATGCAGATAGAGCACTCATATACACAAAATAAATAAATAAATCTAAAAGAAACTTCATCAGGCATCAAAATTTGCTAGAATGAAGCTGGGCATGGTGATATGCACCTGTAATCCCAGCACTGGGGATGCGGAGGCAGGAGGATTGCTGCAATCCAAGGCCAGCCTGGAACACACACACACACACACACACACACACACAGACACACACACACACACACACACAGACACACACACACACAGACACACACACACACAGACACACACACACACAGACACACACACACACAGACACACACACATACACACACACACAGACACACACACACACAGACACACACACACACAGACACACACACACAGACACACACACACACAGACACACACACACAGACACACACACACACGCAGACACACACACACACACACACATACACACACACACACACTGCCTCCACTGCTTCCTCCTCCAACATCACCCAGAACAACAATAAAGCAGGCAATGGTGGCATACACCTTTAGTCCCAGCACTGTGGAAGCAGATGCAGGTGGATCTCCGTAAATTCAAGGCCGGCTTGCTCTACAAAGTGAGTTCCGGGCCAGCCAGGGCTACACAGAGAAACCATCTCAAAAAAATAAATAAATAAAAAGAGCAACAATAGAACACATTGATAAGCCCCACCCTCCGAGCTTCTGATTCACTAGGTCTTTAAAAGGACCCAGGAGTTCGTTCTAACAAGTTTTTCAGATAGTGCTAATGGTCAAGAATGACTTCAAATCTATGTAATCCTTTACAGATTCTCCAGGCCTCTGTCACAGTGGTCAACTTCAGCTGCTAGGATTAGCCAGCCCTCAGATTTCAAAGGTACTAGACCTAGTAAGAAGTTCTGGAGGTAGGGCAGGGAACTGGCACAAAGGCTGTAGAATCAAAGAAAGGAGGAAACCATAGCTCAGAATAAAATAACGAATCGAGGTGAACAGTCTGCCAACTAACTGTGTCCCAGCCTGTTTGTTTTTGAGCCGTCATGAGATCTAATGCAGCTCAGGTTGGCCTTGAATTTACTGTGTAACCAAGGATGACCTTGACTTTTCAGCTTCTCTTGCCTCCCTCCCATTGTGGGGAGCCACCACACCTAGTCTTTACTGACAAACCTTCGAATCACTAAAGGCGAGACAGCTGCACATAGTTTCCTCTTGATGTGATGATGGCTTGGAAGCACAGAACGTCTAAGAATTCACACGCCTTTAATCCCAGCACTGTGGAGGCAGGTGCAGGTGGATCTCTGTGTGTTCAAGGCCAGCCTGGTCACAGAGCTAGTTTCAGAACAGCCAGGACTACACACAGAGAAGCTCTGTCAGAAAAACCAAAAAGAAAAAAAGAAAAAAAGCTCACCCCAAACGTACTTTTTTTTCTTTTGGCTTTTCAAGACAGGGTTTCTCTGTATTGTTTTGGAGGCTGTCCTGGAACTCTCTGTGTAGACCAAGCTGGCCTCGAACTCACATATCTGCCTACCTCTGCCTCCCGAGTGCTGGGATTAAAGGCTTGCGCCACCAATGCTTGGGTACCCCAACGTACTTAATCTATGAGCTGCTGGAGCACATGAAGGGGCTGGAACTGCAGATCTACAGCTGCAGGGTCTCCATGACACAGAACAACAGCAGGATATCCAAGAGGAGCCCCAGTGAGGGCCCAGCATTGAGGGTGCAGCAGAAGCCAGATACCTCAAACCAGACCAGTGACTCATTGCAATAGACATTTACAAGAAAAGATGTATGGACTAAAGGGTATAGTGTATGACTCACTGGGCTACAGCTTCCACACTGAGATTACTTCTGTTTGTTTGGTTTGGTTTTACTTTTAAATTTTGTTCTTGGGGAAGGTTGCAAGGACAGAGGGCAGAAGTAAGGGGATGAGAGATGAGTAGGATTGGGATGCATGATGTGAAATCCATGAAGAATCAATAAAAGTAAAAAAAAAATTAGAATACAGTCAAGCATTTAGACCTTGCAGTATTAAATAATAGCAATACAGGAACATAATATACAATGACCCAAAGATACAATTAGCTAAATTCAATTGTAGATAAAGGATACTGGAATAAACTAGTGGCCAGTGTCTTTTATTAACTGCATGTCTAGGAGAGAAAGGAGAATCTTTTATAGATTTAAAATGACTTAAGGACTGGGCAGTGGTGGCGCACGCCTTTAGTCCCAGACCTCGGGAGGCAGGGGCAGGTGGATCTCTGAGTTTGAGGTCAGTTTAGCTACAAGAGCTAGTTCTAGGACAACTAGAGTTATACAGAGAAACCCTGTCTCAAAATAAATACACAAATAAATAAATAAATAAATGAAATGACTTAAGGGGCTATCTTTTTTTATGTATAAATCTTATTTAAATTAGAAACAATTTTATTTTACATATCAATCCCAGTGCCCTCTCCCTCCCATCCTCCCATACCCCCCACCGACTCCCTCATCCCTTTCCCAGGGAGGGTGAGGCCTTCCATAAGAGATCATCAAAATCTGTCAAGACATTTGGGGGAGGGCCTAGGCCCTGTGTATTTAGGCTAAGCGAGTATCCCTCCATGGGAAATAGGATCCCGAAGCTCATTCGTGCACTAGGAATACATCCTGGTTCATTGCCAGAGGCCCCATAGACTGCCCAGTGTTCCTAGCTGACATCCACATTCAGGGGGCTTAAGGAGCTATCTTAAACAGAATATGTGGTCCTTATTTGTATCCTTTTGTTGTTGCTGTTTCATTAAGACAGGGCAGCCCAGGCTCTCTTGGAACTTACTATGTAGTTTAGCCTCAAATTTAGCCTAACCTCAAATTCTTGAAAATCCCCTTGCCTCAGAATCCAGAGTGTTGGGATTATAGCATAAGCTACTAACCCCACTGGTGGCCTTTTGTTATTATTTTATTTATATATCTGTGTGCCTGTCTTATGAGGGTATGTATGTGCATGTGAGTGAGGCTGCCTTTAGAGGCCAGAGGTGTTGGGTACTCCTGCAGCCAGAGACACAGGGGCCTGTGAAGCTGCCCCATGTGGGCACTAGGATTTGAACTCTTCTTCTGGAAGAGCAGTGTGTGTTCTTGTTTTGTTTTTTGTTTTTTGAAACAGGGTTCCTATGTGTGGCCCTGACTGTCTTGGAA